CTGAGCGACTGGCGAGGGGAGAGGGGACAGGGGAGAGGAGACAGGGACCGAGGCGGGGCCCGGCTGAGGGCCGCTGTTGGGTGACCTGCTCCTCTGCTCCTCTGCTCCTCTGCGGCAGGGAGCGTGGGAGTGGGAAATTGCTGCTGCGAGGTTTACCCTGGACCTTTGTCTGCGTTCAGTTTTCTGCTGTTGTGGGATTCAATTTCTGACCACCATGTGTGAATTCAGTGCTGCTTAAGTGATTACAAGGTATGAATATGTAAGCAAGCTTTCAGTTGCATTAGCTGTGTTAAAGCTCTGATGAGACTGGCGTTTACATGTCTGGTACACTGTATTTTCTGCTGGGAACCACCTGAGATGCTGATAATTTTTCAGTTACTGATTCACAGAACACCAATTGATGTTAACATGTTAACATGTAGTGTCTCATTATACAGCATTAGAGCAAAATGTCATCATCTCGATCACCTCCGTCTTTACCTGCACACAACTGTACCGCTCCTTTATTGGACTCTGACCTTCAGGAAAAGTTTCTTCTTCCTCATGCTATGGAGGCAAGTTCATTCTGTTCCTGTTAAACCTGATTTTTTTCATTCCATTTCCTTTGTTAACAAAGATTCAGAACAGATATTTCAAGACATACTTCCTGGCTGCAGATGGGAAGTGGGTGATACTTCAGAAAATGGGTGAGAGTGCTGGACATAAAAATGGTTTACTGAAACTATGGAAAAAATCTTACTTGTTCTTTTCTGCTTACACAGATGGGCTGGGATAAATGAAACATCTTCCAAGATGCTGTTTTCACTGGAAGTAATTAAATTCAAGAACTTAGTTTTGGATATACAACCAAGAAAAAGCTATAGATACCTTTATGGTGTTACACAAGTTGAGGTCTGCCAGGAAGTGTAAGCCTGTGATAAAACAAGACACGTATGATGTGTCATTAAAGCATTAGGTGATTGGAATGTGGTTATTTGCCTTATGGCAACAGTTGGAAGCAGAGCAGCCTGCATTCTGATGCTGTGGGGAAGTGATTTTTTTTAGTTGGGAACTTCCCCAATTCGGATACTCGTTTTCTCAGTTATGCTAAGGAGATAAGGATGTAAGAATATAAACCCAGCCTGACAAATCGCTTTGGTGGAGACGCACCTGGCACAGGCTGAAAGCAGAAGAAATGGGTGCTGGTGGGTGGGGAAGGCAAGACAGCCAACTCGTGATAAATAATGAGTAGTCAGTGGGGCACTGAGTGGAGTAAACAGATAGCATTGTGCTTGGCGAGAGCATCGATCGTGCTGGAGTGTGAGGGCGTTTGGAGAAGGGGAAGGATGATGGCAGGCTCCTGGTGCTGACAAGGACGTGGGGGGAATGGGATGTGTTTAGGCAGCAGGCACTGACACTTGTCTCTGGAATTACTGTGGCACAGCCAGCATCACGTTCCTGTGCAAGGTGAGCAGCTTTTCCAAACTGGTAAGAGAGAAAAGCTATTGCTGCTTCCAAATTGAAGCTGTGAAACATGGTATTGGTGTGTGAGCAGGACTTGGCCTCCACCTTCGTCATCTTTAACAGTTGTATTGGGAAGGTTTTGTCATTATGTCCTGTGCACTAAAAGTTTCTGCAAAGCTGGAACAAATCTGGTGGGCTGTGTTTGTTAAAACAGGGCGTGCGTCTTGATGAATTTCTGTTTAACGGTGTCCTGGAACTTGCACGGAAACCTGATGGAGTAAAGAGCGTAAATTTCCTTTGAAATTAGATGTGATTTGTCGTTGCTGACTTTCTTAGCTTTTGGAAGGCATAAAGCGAACCTTTTGTTCTTGCAAGCCAACAGAGATGAGTGTTTATTCTGAACTTTTTTGGTTTTAATTCTAAAGATAATATTCTTGACCTGCAGGTTTTCATGGACAGTGCGAGCTGTCTTACAGCAAGAGGCTTTGTGTTGATCATTAGAGAAAATGTTTATAGAGGAGTAACTGTGAAGGCAATTTCCTGAGAATGGAAAGGTGGTACAAGTAATTCAGGTTTCTGGTCACTGCTCAATTCTGGGAAGTCTTCTGAGCACTCCCATTTCTGCTGATAAATTATTGTGGTGTCACAAAACGCCGTTCCTGTTTATATATTAGTTATTTGCTGATAACAAATCCGGCTCAGGGCAGTCAGAAAAGGACAGCACCACTACTCAGTACAATGTTTATTGCAGAGCATGCAGGGGGGGAAACCTGGATGCAGAGTGGAAGTCCATGTACTGGCTTTACAGAAACAAGGGATCAAGATCACAGAGTAGTCTGAGGAATTATGAGATGACTGCTTTGCAAGGAGCTGCAGTAAATCTTTTGACGCTAAAGTTTCCACCTTCGCTCAGTGGGTTTATCTTCTCACTAGAGGAATTAACGCGTTTGCCGTTTACAATCTGAAAGTCCCACAAGTCTGGCTTTTGGAATGGAAGTTACCACGCTGCCAGACTCAGACATTTCAAAATGAGAAGTTTAGTTGGCAATATTATGGGCACACAAATTCTTTTGGATATGTGGTAACAGTTCATGTAGGTTGATTTTTTTTTTATCTTCTAGCCTGTGCTTTCTGGTTCAGTCTTCAAATTCTCCTATTTCACTGAAGTTCCTGGAAGCCTTTAATACTTAATATTATTATTTAAAGAATTGCGAGTTGTACAAATGCTTTTACCATTTGACTGCATGTTTAAATAACACTTAAGTATTTGTGGTACTTAGAGTCTTTTAGCTAAAATAAGGAAAGGAATTGGTGTATGGAGTCACCCTAGGTGTTTTCCCTCAGCTATGAAGTAATAAATTGAAATGAAACAAAATAAATTTAATCTTTAGAGTTTAAACCATCAACTCAAAGTAGCTCATGCGCAGTGAGCTTTTATACTTACACGTACCAAATTTGAAAATGTAGCAAATTATATGTACCAAATTCAAAACCACTGAAAAAATGCTAAATCAGTTATAATGGGAAGTATTTTTTTATGTTTCCTGGTTTTGTCCTGCAGTTGAACAGTAAAAACATTGACGCTTTGATGCAGAAGTTAAGTGAAAAGGAAACCCAAAATACAGTACGTAAGTTAAAATTTCTGTCTCTGTGTTCTGTGCTGTACACCTGAAAATGGCTGCGTCATGAAATAGATTTCCAGTGACAGTGGCAAGGTGGGAGTGCTTGTGGTTTATCATCACAAAATAGAGCCTTAGTTTTGCATCTGAGATGTTCATCAGTGTGCGTTGCTGTTGCATTGTTTTGTACAGACATTAAAATAATTTATTTTCTGGTTTTTTGTTGTTGGTTTTTTTTTTTTCCATGAAGAATCTCAGGAGAAAAATACTTGAAAGGGAGAAACTTGTTGAAGAACTTTCATCCAGGCTTCAGCTTGAAAGGGTGAGTGACCAGTGCTGTTGGCATGAATGTTCTCTCGCAGTGACTAGATCCTGATTTACAAATGTTAGATTTTGGGAACAGCAATTATTACAAAGATCTATGAAAGAAGGAAAATCCCAAAAGATGTTTCCTACAGAAATCTCATAAAACCATCAAGCCTGTATCCAGCCCTGTTAAAGACACAGGTTATCCTTAACACTATTGTCCCGTGGTTCAGGGAGGGGCATACATCTGGACTAGTGGATTTTTGCTTCTTATGTAAGGATTCACAATAATTCTGGAAAAAATATTTATAATGAACTAACAGAGGGTAAGCTGAACAGCTACTGCTCATGGTTAGTTTCCATGGCTCTTTAACTCAATGAATAGGAAAGGACATCAAAGGCTGACAAGACCTCATTCATTCTCTGGACCAAAGGAAGGGGCTCAGTGCAGAAACCAACACAGGAGGAGAATTGTCTGTGCTGTACAAGAAGGTACTACAAAAGTTTCCACGTTATTCTACTGGTAGTTTAGCAATCTGTGTTACATACTTGTATACCTACAGTGAACTTTATGTTGATGCAGTGCAGCGTGGCTCAGTGTTAGTGAGGGGCAGAGTAGACTCAGTTAAGTCTTTTAAGGGAACAGTGGTATACTTTGATTTTGTAACTCCCTGGGGTTTGTTGAGAGCCATGGTTCTTCTTTAAGAATTTTTCTTTGCTTAACGGAGAAAACATCACTTGGCTGCAGGATGGACTTAGCCAGCGAATTGTAATAGAGAAGCATGTGGGGGTGCACCTTTCACACCTGGCCGTTGGCGTAGCCTTGTCTTTATCTTGAAGTGAAGCAGCATGTTCTCTTAGAAACTTTCTTGTCCTTGGGAGTAGACATGCTGACCAGAAAAGCCTCTAAAGATTCTGAAGACCACAACACCAGCAAACCTCAGCACTGAACGATCTGTGCAGCATGCCATGCCCTGACTAGAGTTGTTGAACAATTTGGGGTCCCCAGGATTTGAGCGGATAAATCATTATCTGTGCTATCCCCTTGTTCCGTCTTATGTTATCTCCAATAAATGACATTTTTATCAGTACCTGACGGAGTCCGAGTTTGCCTTTCTTAGTGATACCTGTAATGAGCACTTGCACTGGTGCATGACGATGGTCTTCTAGTCTATGCTAATAACAGGACTTCTTTCTACCTGTTTTCATTATATCTTATTTAAAATAAGCCAGAGGAATCAAGCTGCAAGAAATGTCATAGAATCATCTGACCTCAGTTCTGGTGACAGTTCTGCCTCTTCCCTTATGCTTTCTGTACCCCCCAAAATTAGAGTTTGAATGAAATGTATCAATACTTCTAAGAGCAGGTAGTGGTCTTTGGTATTTAATGAAGATCAGTTCAGCTCTAATTAGTCAAGGCAGAGCTGATCAGGGTGGCTTAATTTTGGTCAACCTGCTAGCTAGATGCCTTTTCTCAGCCTGAATTTCTGTTCGTGCTTCTAGGCCTTGTTCATACTACTCGAAGAATCAGATTAAATGTGAGACATCAATTATACAGACATTCTTTCAAGTTTGTGATTTCTGTTGAACACTAATAACACTAGTAACAAGTTACTGCTTGTGAATGTACTTCTAGAACATGTTTCATCTTTTCCAGCTTTTGAGGACTTTCAAATGTCAGTTAGAAACTGTAAAGCAAAGCTGAAAGAGTATAGGTAGGATCATGTAGTGTATCTCCACAGATCAATAGATTTGTGTTTATTTCTCTTTCTTAGGTCAATGTACAGAAAAAAGACCACCTGTCAAGTTCAGTGAGGGCAGTACAAGCTCACCTGAAATGTCAGATTCAAAGAAAAGAAGCGGAGAATGGTGAATTAAAAATGAAAATACAGGTCAATGCATTTTTACTTGTGTTTCAGTTTATTTGAAGATATTAGCAAAGCCTTTTGGTGGTCAGAGTTTAACTCAGATGTGAGAGTTAAATCTCAGAGTATCACTTGGAATCAAACTGCTGGTAAAACAAAAATCCCAAACAGTAAAAATCATTAACATTTATGTTTTGCCCAGTCTGCCCGATCACAATATCTTCATTGCAAGGTGGTTTTTGTTCTTCTTTTCTCAACTTGTGCCTACAAGCAGTTCTGCTGAAGAGAAGTTAAGCACACAAAGAAGCGTTCTAGAAAATAGATATTGATCCTGAGGTATTCTCCATATAGGTAAGAGACAGGAAAGTCCCCAGGATGAGTTTCTCTTTTAAGATAAGGATGATGAATCACCACCTCTTTCTTTTTATTGACTGCAAAGGAATCAATAAACCTCTTAATACTGACTGAAAGCGAAACACTGAAGACTGATGTCTAACCTCACTTTGTTTAAGGCGGGTGAAATTATTTCCATTTTCTATTGTAAAAAGCAAAAGGTAAATTTGGGCATTTGCAGCGGTTACTGGCTTAGTACATGGCAAGGAAGAGGTCACAAGGAAGAGGCTGGAGCTGCATATGTCCTCAGCCTTTCGTGTTTGAAACCTGTCAAGAGCACAGGCATGAATGAGAATACACTGGCTGAAAAGTAATGTATTGCTAATTTCCAAACTTTTTTTAGTAGTGTACATCCCGTATGAATTGTATAATTTGAATTTGTTAAGGAGCCCATGGCAACTCAATTTAAAAAAACGTCACGTATGTCTGTCTGTATAAATACCTTACCTTTTCTTCTAAATCAAAATTGCTGTATTGTTCTCCCTAGTACAATCACTAGAATTCCAGCAACATTTTCATGTAGGGATACTTTGATTAATAACTTGATATACATCTGTATTTTCATTCAGTTTATTGAAAAATTTCCCTTGTTCGCTCTTCAAAAAGTGCTGAAGCCAGTTGTGACAGCTTAGCATTACCCTTATCAAATTAATTCTCAATTTAGATTTGCCCCAGCCACTGAATAGTGCCCAAGTGCTGATTCTTAGGGCGGTAGTGACCTCCGGTGGTTACCTCGGGGATAACAGTTGTTCACCAGCAGTTAAAGACGGCCATACGATTGTCTGTTTGCTCTGTTTATTGAAGCTGTTCCACTGCCATCCCCCCAACTCACATCTTTGTGTGTTAAATGCCATATAAGCATCTCTATATGTCAACTGCTTCCTGCATATTTAGGGGGTTTTATAATTTCATTTTTTTAAGTAGTATTTTCCTTTTCGGTGGGTCCCAGTACCTGAGACAATCTTTCACTTGGAAAACAACATACATTTTGCATTGATTATGGATAAGTTTTGGGGCCATTAGCAGGGCCTATACTGACAGATATCCTTTCATATGCATAATATGCATATTTTATAGCAACGGGAAAATGGTGTCTTGAATAAGGCTGGCACATTGATGCTGTCAGTAGGTAAATGGCACGTCATTCTGGTCTTTATTCATGTAGAACTTAATCGAGTGTCAGACCTAGACTCAAATTAAGGAAACAAGTGTATTAATCGTTCTTAAAATTAGGATTTTTATCAGTGACTTGAGAAATTTATTTACACTGCTCGCCTACTTGCATTGCTGTAGTTTGACAGAAGAACATTATGTGATAAAAGTGGAACTTGCACTTCTCCTTATGAAAGCGGTTGTCTACTTGGCCATGTTTTTGGTAAGCTGTAGCACCTGAAAACCAATCACGTCTGATATTCTCCTCATAAATGGCTTTAACATGCAGGTCATGGTTTCTGTGTTGAAATTCTGCAATCATTTCCAAGAGCACACAGCAATGGTTGGATCACTGCCTTTCCCCTGCCTGCTTCTGCACCTTCTCGACCTCGTCTTTGGATCACCTTTATAATGGGTTTCCCAACGTGTATTTTCTCTTGCCTGTTGATGTACATGTCCTGCCTAGCTCTTTGTATCAACCACAAGATTTGAGATACAAGGATGTTACGGGAACATTCTAAATGTAGTTGCTATTCCTGGTTATGTTATGTCACAAAATTATCTGTAAGGTATAGAATTTGAAAAGAGTTGATGTTTAATTATACTGCAGGCTCTAGTAAAGAAAATAGAAGAGTGGAAATTTCAAGTTGGAGAATATAAGCACCAAGTGTTAGCCTTAAGGCAAAAAAGTGAGCAGAAGAAGACTGCTCTGAAAAAGGCAATCGGGTCCCAGAAACAAAGAGCCAAACACTTTGAAGCAGCTGTGGAAAATTTAACCTCCAGAATAAGAGAACGTGTAAGTGTCTGTGCTGTGAGCAATGTCGTGCTGTCCTGTTTTGAACTGAATGGCTGGGAGAAAATAGAATAAGTCTGGGGGGTCATGCTGTGTTTGTATCTCTGTTATTTTTGCTCCTTCGCTGAGGAAAAGGTTGCTATAAGTGACATGCAAACTGTTACTACATTCACTGCCCTCGTTTTGGTGAAATTTAGTGAATGTCTGAAGCCATGGGGTTGTACGCTTCAAATGGTAGTGAGAGGAGTCTGATCTGCTTTCAGTTACACCTCTCGATTTTCCTGTGTGGAAGACTTTATGGATGCACACTGACTACTGTCGGAAGTACAGTATGCTAACTGAGAATCCATCATTGGGGTTTGAAGTCTTTGTTTCCTTTATTTGTCAGTGCATGACATCTCATGTGGATACTTAACTTTCTGTTTCTAAGCTGCTTGCTCTGAACCTTTTCAAAATGCATGCACAACATTTCCTTAATCCAAATGTTCCTTAGATTCTTGCCCCACAGACCCCTGCAGCGTGTACTTGTTCAGAAAGGCCAGGTGGATCAGAACTGTGCTGAGATCTTCATTGCCTTGTTCAGATTTCTTAGTAAGAGTATGTTTTCGTACTCTTAAGTGTGTTGCCATAATTTTGGGTATGTCAGTATTAAAGATAGGTCTTTCCAGTTATTGTATCAGGAGATGGTTAATAATGGGTTTTTTGTTGTCTTCGATCTTTGTGAAAAGGCAGTAGTGGATCTCTAAGAACCCTTATTTTATTTTGACACAAGATAAAATTTACATTGCTTTGTACTAGGGAAGTCTAAACCACCTCCTATGAAACAGCTCTTGTGCTTAGAACATTTGGTAGAAGTAGGTGGTGTTCTTCCGTGGCATTCTTTTGTTACCTGATTCGTCATTCCTCTGTTCTCCAGGAAGTCCAACTGTCTGAGGTACAGACAGCTTCTGACGTCGAGAAAAAACAGCATGATAGAATGGCTGAAGGAAAGACACAGTTAGAAATTCAATCAGAAGACCTCAAGAAGTAAGTTAAACTGTTGGTGTGTATTTTTTTTGTTTCTGTAGTCACACAGTCTTGATATTTAGCGATGTAGCGCTCAGGTTGACAGTGTACACAGGTTTATGTATTCATGTTTTAAAATTCTGAGAATTTATAAGTTGGAAACTAGAAAACAATTAAGATTTGTAGCCTTCTCTCTGCTACATTTCACAACTCTTTTAAAAACTTCATTCCCCATTCAAGTAAGGAACGTGTTCTTTCCGCTGCATACTTCTGATTAGCCTCAACTTGCTGGTAGCTACTGTGCTGCTTCCTCAGAATGATTCTGTTATTAACTGAATTAACAGCTTGAGTGCTGCATAGAAGAAGGTTCTTACTTAGGCTTCTACTTTCTACTTCAGACTAACTACTGCAAAATTATTTCAGTTCCTCTAATGTCTCACCCAGACAGAGAAAAGTTCCTCTCAGTTGTGTTTGAACAGTTTATTCCTGTGAGAAAAAGCAACACAAAGTTGTCCAGCCTTATTCAGACCATCCAGTTAAATCTTAATGTACATGAAGGGTAGGCCGTTTTCTTTGGTAGATACCGATAAATATCCTTTTACCTTTTCTGTTGGTAGAAATACGGACTATAATTCAAACGAGCAAAAGGAACTAATAGGTGCCTTTATGCTGGGTCTAAGACAGAATCTTTATTTTACAAGAGCTTGATTCAAGCTCAAATATGTAACAGCTCAAATTAAATTGACTTGACTCTTTTGTTATTGTTTCAGAAAATCTGATATTTCTGAAAATATTTTCAGCTTATTTTAAAATCTAACAGGAGTGAAGGTACATGACGTGAGTCCAGAAATGTCTAGCTCAGGGTTTGTCCAGTGTATGTGAGAAGGCATCAAGGAAAGAAGAAGAAAGGAGAAATATCTACGATACTTCCCTCAAGTACTTGTTGCTTCTAGCTGGTTTTTGCTGGTTTTATTTCAGCTGAAAATACAAGTCTTGCTTGAAATGTACCATTCTGACAAGATTTGTTCTTGACTAACTAAACAGCAAAACAAGTTTTGTTGTCTAACTTCATTAGCATTAAAAACATGTGAGGCATGTAGCACAACTTGTTATTTTTAATAATGGGAAGTTCATTCCTAATCCAGCTATGGAGGGTTCTGAGTACGACATTATCTGATAGATCTGATAAATTCAGTGTCATTCATTTTGTACAGTGCGTATGCATCGTTGTCTTGGAAATATGCTTGGGTGTTCTAGGTAATGAATTTATTTGTAATTGAGCTAGGACCAATGCCTTGGTGGACCACATCTCTCTTGGAAAGTTTCTTGTTTCAATAGATACTGCGTTCCTGGGATGCTTAAATGCATTCCCCGAATTTTTGTTGGGTTTTTTTGTCTTTTCATAAAATAAGACCAACGAAGGAGTGTATCTTAAGGTACAATTAATTTTGCATACCGAGAGTTTTGGAAGCATTGGAGATGATATAGACATTCCTGTCTACCTAACAAGACAGATCACAAGCCTGTTGGAAGACTTGAAAAGAAAGGAGGAATGGAGAAGCAAGTCAGATGAGGAAATTCTTGGAAAGCTAAGTTCTGACCACTCTGAAAATGAAAAGATTTACCTTGAAAATGAAAAATTAAAGGTGAGATTCTTTAAATCACTTTTGAGTGGCTCTGCATTTCTGATACATTAATGAAGTAGCTGCATTAATTCCCTTTTGGGCCTCTGTCTTGAGAGCCCAAAACTGTAGAACAAATTTTCCTGTGCATTTCTTGCAGTAAGAGAAAATGACACACTGAAAATTTATCCGTGGAAATCTATGGCCAGTCTAGGAACAGGATTGTCTAATAATCTCTCTGCTTAACTAGGATGCCATTTACTTAACTGTCAGTAGCTCCAAAATTGCTTAATTGGAAATTGTTATTTTATGTTTGTGAAATTTTATTTCAAATTAAATGATTCATTTTAGTTCAATTATTAATTTCAATTTTTAAAGCGTTTACAGGTTTTGTACTGTATTTATCTCCCAAAGTAAATATTCTGATGAGCTGACAAATGAGCTGTGGGCTCTGATTCTTGTTTGACAGGGTAAACAATTGTGTCACTTCTTTCAATGTCTGCAGGTCATTTGCTAGCAATATCGTATTGTAGATGGTGCAATTTTAATAGAATTCTTACAAGTTTTGTATTTTCCATGTTTTGATCAAGGCTTCCATTGCTACATTGGAAAACAGTACTGTTTCTGTTGAAAGTGAGCTGCTAAATCTGCAAGAAAAGGCAAAGCTGCAGGAAAACCTTGTTGAACAGTATAAAGATCAGGTGACTAGTGTGTTTGAAATGTGGAGGAAATGAGAAAGGTTTGATTTGTAATAAACCAGCTTCGTTGTCATGTTGTCATCCTGTCATAACACTGAGGGCCAGAGAAGAGAGTGGCATTACAAACCATAGCCAAGAACGGTCTCCACACCAGTCCCAGTACACAGAATCCTTACTGAACTGTGTGAAGCTGAGCTGAAGCTCACTGAAGCCAACACAGCTCATTACATACTTGCTCAGAAAAGATTTGCGTCCTAAAAAGCAAGTTGACAACTCAGAAAACTATATTTGGAAAGTACAATTTGAGTCTGATGTCTTTAGTGGGCATATCCAAGGATATTTTACCTCTGCTTGGTCATATCGGTATTTCCATGTTCTTAAGATCAGTAAAACAACACTCGAGTACTGATGTTATGTTATGTTATGTTATGTTATGTTATGTTATGTTATGTTGTGTTGTGTTATGTTATATCACATCACATATCATATCATATCATATCATATCATATCATATCATATCATATCATATCATATCATATCTTATCATATATCATATAATATCCACATCATATATCATATCATATATCATATCATATAATATCATAAATTTTATTGTTATTCTATTCTATTCTATTCTATTCTATTCTATTCTATTCTATTCTATTCTATATTTAAAAGAAACACCCTGCAAATCTATGTGAAAAATATATTGTGTCCTAGGTACAAAAATTACAAACAGCAATAGAAGAATTGAGACCCAGGTATGAAACAGTCTTAAATGAAAGCAGGATAAGAGAAACCAAATGCGTAGAAGTAGACACGGTAAGTTTTGCAGTAATAAAACATGTTTCCAAGCAATTCTGTAGGACATTGATCTTTGCTACATTATTGTGATCCACTTACTAGAAGTCACAGTGCAGTGGCTCTTTTTTCAGTACTACACGATTGCAAACAGGTGAGAAATGGTTCCAAGAGTAAGAACGAAGGAGCTGGGCTGCTATTTTAGAATTTGAGAATCCTTTTATCACTTTTGAAAGTGTTGTTGATTTTAAAACGATCTGTCAACAGAGCAGTTGTGGAAGTTGCTTAGGAAAGCAAAGCTACTGTAGGACTGCTTTGCAGTGTAAGTCTTAACTGCAGTTAGAATGGAGAATCCAGGCAGAGATGAGGTTTCAGTTTTTCAGCAGATGGTGCTGAATACTGAAACACAGCCAGCATACGCTTAAGCATCAGAAAACAGTACCAAATTAGTAGTAAAGCCACTTTCCTCAGTTTCATGGCTTGTCTTCTTTAAAGTGATAATGCTAATGCAGGGACAGGTTTTGCATTACCTGCAATGTTCTTTTTTAGAGAACAGAATTAGTCCTCACAGAGAAGCATCTTAGACATTCATTTTATTTCATACTAACTTTATCTTTCCATGTTCGAGTTGCAGAATGGAGAAAAATATTAAATGGTCCTATAAATGATATTTGCATAGCATTGTATGTGGCTTCAGATGGCATTGGGAGTCGCTCTCTTTTCAGATACTGCGATAGTTGTCTGGTCAGAATTGTTCCTGTAGGCTGCTTGGTGTGTCTGAATGCCATCTCCCCAAGTCTACTGCAATGAAACTAAGCTAAAATAAAAATTAGAGTAATTAATGATGAACTGCTAACGCTTGCATAGTTTTGTAGCTGTTTATTGTGTTACTGAGTCTTCAGTGGGGTATAGTCGGAGACAGAAATTTCTCCAACGTGAACTTATACCTTTGTCAGTAACTTATAAAACAGGTGACGTTATGCAACTTGTGTACAATTCCAGATTTATTACTTCATGCAAAGCCATTAAGCGTTACAACAATTAATTTATGGTTTTACGCTTACATTTTTCTCCTGTGATGCTACTCTGCAGGTGAGGGACAAACCAGAGGCCGAGTTAAAGGAGTTGGAACACGTCTGTAACTTGCTGACAGCAGCTGAGGAAAAGCAGCAAGGATGTCAGGAACAGCTTGTGTCCCGGGACAGGATCCATGCACAGAAATGCAAACCCCTTGGGGAGCTGCAGGTTCAGGTGCTTCGAATGTGCTGATTTGTAAAGATTAATGGGAGAATTATGTGGAAGAGTCTCTGAAACATTTTTTTCCTATTAGCTTGTGTGCCGGTTGTGCAGTTCCCTTTGTTACTTCCTTCATAAGTCAAAAGCTCCTTCTGTAGAAACAGCACAATGCAAATAAAGCTATCACCAGCTGTATTTATGTGAATTCAGTATGGGACAAGACTGGTTACCGATATTTGCTTTTACATTTTGGATCTTTTAAGTGACTATATTCTTAATCCTTTTGAATACTTCTGTCCTGAGATGTGTTGCAAAACTCTTCCCTGGAAATAAATGTGCAAGTCTAATGATTGTCTGTATCTAGTGGTATAACTTAACTCCACTTAATTTTGTTTTCAGTGACTAATTTATAAACCAGACAATATTTGCTTAGATAAATAGTCATGAATTACATTGCTGATGATATCTAGCTTTAACATTTTAATGGTTTCATTGTGCTGGTTGATGAAATATAAAAATATTTTAAAAATATTCTTCAATAGGATCATTTCTACTTTAGCAGTATTTTAGCACTACTGCTTGTATTTTCTCTTAAGAATATTCCTCAGATTTTCCTGTCCGTGACATCAACTTCAATGGCAGGGCTCAGTTTGGCGTTTTTTTGTTGTACTCTTTTTTCTTTTTTTATTTTTTAAATTATTTTGCATTTTTTAATTCGGAGAGAATTCTGCTGCTCATACACCTCTTTTCAGTAACTTCTCTTTTTTGGTATTAGCTACTTTCTGCAATTCTTTGCCAGAGCAACACTGTTCCTCTGTGGTAACTGCATATACAGATATCCATATGAGGTGTTATTGTTATGCTTCCTGTGGCTGTAGTGTGAGGGAAGTTACTTTTGCTGGAACCTAAAGCTTAAGAGTTGAAGTTCACAGAGGAGGTAGACCTGGCCAGCTCCCAGCACACCAGGCTGCATGGGCAGCATACGGATTTTTTTAGGACTTCACTTTGTTACATCGCGGGTTTTCAGTTTTAAAGTGTTCACACAAAGTTTTAGTCGGCTATTTTGGCTGTAGTTTGTTTGTTTTAAACCCAAGATAATCTACACTTGAATAAAATATATAGTGTTTAGAGTTAAACTGCTGGATTGGATTTTAATAGGCAAGCTTCCTTTCCTCCATAACATCCTGTATATAGGTCTCTTCAACTAGAAATGAGTCGTCATTTTCACAGCAGGAAGACAGTACAACTTCTGTGGGCAGTCATTCCTCAGAAGAAGAAAACCTTAACATTCAGAAGAAATACGGAGATCTTAAAAGGTAACTTTTTTAAAAAATCTGACTGCAATGAATTCCTACACTTTTCTGCTGTAATGAATTGTAATGCGTTAATCTGTTTTGTGTAAAGGCAATTAGAAAAGGTGGAATTTCAAAATGAAGAACTTGCTTGTCAGCTCAAAGAACATGATGAGACTCTTCAGTGCAGCAGATTGCAGCTTGAAGAGAAAATGGCAGAATATAATGGACTAACCAGGCAACTGGAATCTGCTTTGGAAGAAGGGAGAAAAATGGTATTGATGATTTCGTGCATGTCTTTATCTTGTTTGCCACGCTCTATTTAAAGATAACATCAAAAGCGAGGGTGCTTGAGAAGAAAAGATGAAACCATTATTTTGCATGTAGGGAGCAATAGTACAAAGTTACTGGGGATTCTGCATGTTTAATTATGAATTGCACAATTCAACTTCTTTGTGAAATTCGGATCCTATTGCAATTAATTACAAAGCTCAGTGGACCCACATTTCACTGTCATTTTTTTGTTGACAAATCAAAACGCTTTAACCATCTAATTGCCTTTTTCTTCTTTTCTTTGGAATAGGCAGCCCGCAAGAACTTTGGTGTTGAAATCATTCTCATTTTAGAGGAACACTTTCAATATTAAGCAGAGATTTTTCATTTATAGAAAGGATGCAGACAGTAACAAATAGAAGAGGAAATGCAGTGATTTGGATTGCAGTAGATTTATATTAGTTTAATAAAAGACAATATGCGTGAAGTTCTAATTTCTGTCTCAGATTAATCTCGTTGAAATAAACTGACTGAATTTTCTCAATACTGTCTGAGGATATTGATTTGGTTCTGAAAAAATAACAAGTTTGGCTTAACTTACAAATGGGTCACAAAAGCGTCTCCCTCCCAGTAATATTACATGTTTTTCCAAAGGGAAACTTCTTTCAAATTTAGTCAGAATATTACCCAGGTTTGTTTAATTTCTGTGCATGGGAAATAGCTGAAGTATTTGATGACAGAAGAGGAAATACAGCGATTAATGTATTCATGCTAAGGTATAAGAAAATCATTTGATTTGGGCTTCAAGTGAAAGCAAATATGCATCAGTTCTCTCTTATTGCAGGTAGCTGAAGAACTGGAAAAAATGTTATACAAAGAGCAAGCCCTTCAGGCAAAAATCCTTGTTCTGGAAACTGAAGTGAGAGAGGTGCAAGAAGAGAAGAAACAACTCCTCTGCGTATTTCACCATGTGAGGAAGGAACACTGTCTATGGCTTAAGAAATGACTTACTACATCACCATTTACAGTAAAAGTTCCTTTTATTGGAAAACACAACACTACACACTGAAAAACTTCCCTGCACTTTAGGGAAGAGCACATGAATTCAACTTGACGATATATTCTGTATACTGACATTTCTAATAGACTTAACAGATGCCCAGTCTAAATCACTGGAATTATCTTGAGTTTGCATCTCTTATTCAGTCGAGTTTTCCCAGCATGAAAAAATATCAAAAAGACACATACATCTAGAGAAGAACTGCTCCAAATTAATTAATTGCTTTTTATTCCAGTTACATCGACATATAATTGAGAATGCATTACGGAAAACTATAAACTGGTCTTATTCCTGTTGTAGTGCAACTGGAAACAAAATAGGACTGTGAGGATAACTTTATTCAGTTATTCTTTCTAACCTGATTGGCTTTTTCTGAGGTTGAGCTTAAATCTGATGAGTACAATTCTGTTTTTTAAAATATTCGATGTGTTTTAATCAACTTGCGCCTGAAATCTGTAACAGACATAAAAGGCAATGCCTGAATATCTGTAGGGTCTGTATAACAAATTATCCATGGTGTGCATCAGGTATGGAACCAATGAGCAGGTAACAGTGCTATTAGTAATCTTTTTTAAATAAAGATCTTTAGACATCAAAAATCATGTTATATCAGAGATTAGTAACAGATGTTTCCTTGAAAAACCAACATGAGAGTGTTAAGCCCATAATAGATTTAAGATGCTAGGAATCTTTCATGATAAGTTTCGGAAGGTTAGTTTTTGTGTTCCCAGGCCTTTTTTGGATTATAAGCCTGTTGAAACATGTTCAGTCTGTTCCTGACTGAACATAAATAAAGCTTTAATATTTTGAGGTCTTTTTGGGAACCATCAGTTCTGTGGAGCCTCTGAAAACTTTTACAGGTAAATAAGGCTTATAAAAAATCAGGTTCTAGTTGTCTTACATTATTACTGTGATTGATCTGTATTTTATTTCTAAGTTGCATTGAATTTCTCTTTTTTTCCCTTAGAAAAAAGCCCACTATGAGGTATGTTTGAAAGAGCTGGGTAACAGCCTGCAGAAAGCAGAGAACAAGAACCAAAGCATCCAGAATTATGTGCAGTTTCTGAAAGCTTCATACATAACAATGTTTGGCTGAATTCTTCATTATTAAATAAATTAAATTAAAGAAACTTTTCAATATTTGGCTTCAACTTTTGCTGGAGGCAAGACTGTTGAGGCCTTATGGTATTTTACAAGATTGATTACTATGATGTTATTTCTTCCCCAGGAAAGCCTGTGTTGTGGATAGGGAAAAGCAGGTCAGTCATTCCTGGCTCATCACTTATGGAAAATGTACCTGGTGTTACTGACACAAAGAATTGTGGTTTTCATGGGACAGAAGTGAAAAGGCAGACTGCAAAACAGCAGAGACAGATCTCAGGTACACACATGAGGTTGTAAATTGGTCTGTGAATTTGCCGTGTGTGTAAAAGCTTGCGTGCATCCTTCTAGCCCATGGTCACAGATAAACTTTCAGTTCCCATGGGAAAGAGGGAACCCGTGCACTGGCTGCGTAGTAATTTACATATTTTAATTATTAATAATTATATACTATTTCTCAGTTATTATACTTCTGTTCTGTAGAAATCTGGTTGTCCAAGATAATGATATTTATCCTATTAAGACGGGCAAAAAAGTAGAGAGCATTAGGTTCCCTCCCTGTCTTTTCCCTGCCGCTTGGCATCAGCACAGCACTCACCACTGCACTGCATGAAATGCTTGTGGCCACAAGGCTGTCCCATCCAGCCTTCTTCCCCTACTCCTGTTATGATTGGGAGTATGCTACAGTAATATTGTACAAATATAAGTAGGAAAGTATTTTAGAGACAATTTAAGCTCTGAGTGTGTTCATAGACCCTTTCACGGTGACACGGCTTCATTAAGGTATTCACGTGTTTATCTGTGCTTGAGTTCAGGAGCTGCTCTTCACTGACTTGTGCATCAGGTTAAATGCATGGGAATACCCAGCTGATACAGGGCTAATAAAAACCCAATACTGACTGAGATAGTAATTATGATTATAGATATATGCTTATAGAAATGTTATGTGTTTTTTGAAAAGTAGTACATTTGGATAAGTTAAATATATGTAATTTAGAATTTAGTGTATTTAAATGCATATTGTTAAATTGAAAACATAAGTTAGTTCACACACAGGCAATACCTGTTTGTTAAATGTAGTATTTAGTTGTTATTTATAATGTGTAGAATGTTGATTTTTTTCTCTTTTTCCAAATGCTTATCCATCCTAACAAATACTGATATGTGATGACGATCTGCTTGTGTGCACCTCTAAAAATAAAATTAACATTTATTGTATATCACTCAGGTTAGCAGAGAATACTTCTGTTATATTGTTGAGGTTTCTGCGTTACAGATGCTCACTTCCAACCACACTTTGATCAGTTTAGTTCTGCTTGTTCTGCTGATATCAAAACGATTGGAAGTCATCGTGTATGAAGGAAAAAATTCAGAAACACAGTGTTGAATCCAGTCCAGTACTGGTTTTTAAAAGGTCATCATGGAAAATGGTGCACTTCCCACTGATAAATGGTACAAATATTTCAGTCTGTCTTTTGCCATCTAGGGAATCAGTGGGTTGTTGGTTTTATTTTTCCTTCCTATCTCATTTGCTAGAAATGGATCTGGAATTATTGAAGCTGCTGACAGCTTGAGGTACCTCTTCACTACTGGATGTCTACAGACAAGAAATTCAGGATACGTCAAAGCAAATGTGATCTGATTTAGCTTACGAGATTAGAAATCTGCGATTTTTTCAGTTCCACCTGTCTTTCCCATTCTGTTTATCCAGACTTCCTTTCCTTTTGTTCGTATTCGAGCACTGGAATGTACATTTTTGATCATTGAAGTCTTGGAAATCGCTTCAGAATGCAGACAGGATTTTCCAGGTGATAGTGATGTTCTTATGGCTCTCCATTATTGATCCTTTTCTGTTGTTGGCACAGTAGAATTAGAGCTACTAGTCACAAAGATCACTTATTTTTTCTCTGTTGCATTTGGTTTTAGCTGGTAGTGTTATTTGCATTTTAAATTTCGTTAGCTTATTTAGAGACAGGAGTTGCTGTGGATTTTAATAAGGAAAAGAAGACAATTGTTTTTCCAAGGACCGAAGGGTTTGCCATGGATTGCTGTTCGCATGTTCAGTGACTGTGTAAAGTGCAGCTGAAGGAGTTCTGCTTCGTTCACTTCACACCACAGAAAGCTGCGTGTCGTGCTGCAGAACTCTTGGGTACAGCTGTACTGAATGGATGCTAATGTTTTTCTTTAAAGCAATTTATTTTTACTATCTGCATCACATAGCAAAGGGACACTCAACTTTCTAGGAACAAACAGGTTCATTATGCTTGCTTTTCTGGGAGTTTTCCTCTCTGTATGATCGTAGAAGCCCTTGAAGATGATGATGTTACCAGCACCTCGTCTCGCAGCCTTTCTTCATAGGAGATTTTGATTTAGCATTTCCTCCTAAAACGCTTAATATGCTGCTGCAGGTTTCAAATACAGTCAGATGGAACACCTCACTGCTGCAAATACGTGCCCCAAACCTGTCAAAACAGGTTGCTGGTCTGTGCCGTGCAGGCTCTGCGATGTTTCAGTCTCGTGGTGCTCATCCGCAGGACCCTTCACAAGCAGGGAGGTTTCTCTTCTGTTGCTCTGAGTGCCCTCGAGCAGGAAAGCAGCAGAAATCAGAGATTCTGTGTAAAAGTTTAACCATGCTTTCAGTTACGAACTCACCCAGCAAAGATTTAAAGAGATTTAAAACTGAGAGATTAATCTGGGTAAGAACAGAAGAGTAACAAGTATAAGATTAAAACACCAGCATTCTCTATCCCACTGTCCTTACAAGATCTCCGAGTAAAAAGGCATTTTTACCATAAATGCAGTACTGAGGTACACAGGTGAATGTTATGTGATGTACGTGTTGTAGAATTTCATGATTTTGCTAAGATTTTAGTGGTAATTTTTCACAGAAGCTGACTTGGTATAATCCAAGGTTCATAAGAGAACCCACAGCTGAACTGGTACTAGTGCTCATTTTGTAAATCAAATTAAAACCACCCACAATGTTACTGTTTTCTCCCAATATTTGTAACCAGTGAAGTTCCATATTCAATCAGAATTCCAGGCTTTAATTCGGTTGAACTGTAAGCACATAGAGCCCTGGAACGGGCAGGCCTTAAAGAGTCGACCTGAACTCCCTGCTCCTGCAATCCCTGATCTGTGATTAAATGGACACTAACACATCAGTGCTTTGTTTCTGGTTGGTTTTGAGAAAGAAAGGATTTGAAGTAGAAGATCATTATCTTATCATATGCTTTAGATTTGTTAATGTATGGGAACACAGAATTTAAAGCAGAAGCACAAGTCTCGGGGCTACTTGGGGCCCTACCCCCTTTAATCCTGTCTGCCAAGTAGCCTGTTACTAGTGGCTTAAAGCTGATCAAAGAACTTTATCTGTTCCCTATCCATAGCACAAAACCTGCTGTAAATGCTGTTGTAAGACGGAGTCTTGCAGCAAGAAGAGCACAGCAACTCAGTAATTTCTCCCTGGACACCTGCCTGCTTAAGGTGTATCCTTACAACAGAGATGCAGCGATCATTGAGCTCCAACAGATGGCTCCTCCGTTGAGTGTGACAGGTAACTAGCACAGCTTTCCTCTTGCCTCTTTAACCATGAATGAAATCAGCGCTTGGATTTTTGGGAAAAGGTTAAAGAAGGCCCATTCTCATGCAGCTCAAGATGCCTCCTGCTACAGTCGTGCCCATTGCCCTGCCTCAGAAAAGAGACGGGTTGGACTTTTTGTGGCAAAATCACTTTGCTGGTGATTTTCCTACAGAAGAAGTGAGCTGAGGAGCTGTTTGGCAGCCTGACATCTGTGCACAGCCCTGACTGCGCTGGGAGGCCTAGGGCTGGCCAGCACAAACAGGGATCAAAGCAGAGCCCCATAGCAGAGGGTTGTGCAGGGCGTGAAGGAGACGCAGTGATTTCATGCACATTTCTTCTTGCTCTTTCAACAAAAGCTTCCTGTGGATTGTTTTAAGGCTGACATAGCTCAAGCGTGTTCCTTAAGGCCAGAGAAGGGAGAGCACGATGCCGATGTGCACTGATAGGGAATGCAAGCAGTCAGAACCATGAAGTTACGGCGGTCACCAGGTCATCCTGTCATGCATTTGGGTTCAAAATGCTTCCTTGTGTGCCTATGGCTGAGCAGTGATGGTGCAGCAGCTGTCCCTCGGTACTAAAGCTTGCAAACGCTTGGAGGTGGGGTGTGTTTTATATTGCCATCCACATCTGTCTGCAGCCTTCACTCGGGATTCCTGATGTTGTGCTGTTACCCTGTTGGGTAAGGCTTTTGCAGCTGCTGACAGCCCAAAGGAATATCATCCTGGTGATAAAGAAATCACTCCCGCTCAGAGACCCAGAGTGTCTGTAAAATGCTGGTTTAATTGAGAACAAGAGCATCATTTCCAGGAAGTGACGGACTCATAACAGGCCTTTTGTGTTTGAGTGTTTGACAGACCAGATCAAATCCGTGATTAACGTATCGTATTACTTTTATGGCAGATTAATCTACCTCATTTAAAAGCAATAGGGAAAAGAATGTTTTCATGTCTAGAGCCTTTGCTGCAATCTTGCCTGCCTCTTACGGCAGAATAAACATAGCATTTTGTTGGCTGTAAAACTGTGCCTTCCAATTTATCGAAAATACGAGTATTTCATTCCCTGCCCCTCCTTTCGGTGGGACTACTAAAACTTGAAACCAGGTTTTACTGGTTATGCTTTGCGTGCTTTTCATCCGAGTCGGTCTTTAAAAACGATCCGTGATAACGTCTGATTTCTAGGGCAGATGTTACACATCCAACAACCACCTCCAGCTCTCCCACCAGCGTTTCGGGCAGGCCGAGCCCTTGTTGATCACCGCCGTGACCACATCCCTATTCTTAGCAAAGATTCTCCCTTGCAGAGCAGCGGCCTGTGCTTCACTTACTAATTTACAGCTCCACCCACTAAATGCCGCCGTGAATTATAAACTACCCAAGTAAACCACGTATTATTAACAGCCTCAATTTCACTGT